TATATATGTGTATGTGTGTGTGTGTGTAATGAAATTATACAAATTTTCTATATTTGATATTTTTGTAATTTCCAGATATGCTAAATTATTCTATTAACATATATGATGATGGGAATCTTTTGGAAATTGTCAGTATGTCAAGTAAGTTTTTCATAAATCCTAAATGACGATTATTCAAACAATTTATATATCATCTTGTGATTTATTGTATATAAAAGTTTATTACTTTTTAATATATTCCAAAGATTATAAAGAAAATATATATATTTTTTTAATTTGTAAAATTTTGTAGTTACTTTTCCCTATTCATCTTTCAAGCTAAAGCATTATAATCAGTTATAAAAAGAATGTTTTTTTATTAATGGCTTTGTAATTTTTTAAAGCAAAATACAAAGTTTATTACATTTCAATAGTGCTATGAGTTTAATGTTTTTATTTATGGATGAAATCATTTCAGAATTTTAATAGGATAATTTCCAATAAGTTTGAATTTTAGATAATTTTTGCTGTAAAAGTTGAACTGGAAACATTTGATAAATTGTTATCGACTTTTTATACATTTAGGAAACAATAAGTGAAAAAGTTTCTTGTGTATACCAATTATACATTAATGCAAAAACTTTTTATATAAAATAATATAAAGAAAATAATTTTAGAAAATTATTTATCTTTATCAAGTTATTTATCTTAGTTTTAGAATTATTATTCATCCTTGTATTTTGTTTTATTCACTAGTGAAGTTGAAAATGCCATATATTAGACAATGTACTATACGCTCAGGCAATGTACTTATTAATTTTTAAAGACTTTTAATGGATTAAGTTAATGGTCATAGGTTAATGGATTTTAAAGAATTTCTAGAAATCAATACAGTAGAATTTAATAAAATATTCAACATAATTTTAATGGCTACAGTTTCAATAACATTTGAAATGGAAGGTTTTATTTTATCTATATATATATAAATGATGATGATTGTTTGTTTGTTCATTATACACTTCTGGGCTGTTTGACCAATTGCTATGAAACTCAGCAGTTAGGCTCAAATACTTCTAACTTTGATCATGTCATACATCCCCTCCCAAAATATCAATTGCATTTCTATAATTTAATTAATTTTTATTTACGTTCGATTTTCTGAGTTATGCATCTATTGACAAAAAAGTTAACAAAATAATTAAGTAAATATAATTCTTACAAAAAAACGGATATAATTTTAAAAAATATATATTATATTCACTGAATTACTGCGACAATGATATAGCATGAAATAGATGCACCATTATGCCATTACTGTGACAGGTAGCACATAGCACTTGACTGTGTGCTGTAGTAGTGTGTTGCCCCTGTACATTATACTTTTTCTGTTAGCAATAGAATCGTGCCAGTTATGTATCTGACTTCATTTGGGGGAAAATTTTTGTATTGAAATAACATGACTTGTACAAATCATAAGTTCATATATAGTTAATCTGGTCCTTTTATGATTTCTATGTCTGGTCTCAGCTTTCATCTATCTAACTTTGTTCTTGAGATTAAGGAAGGTCAGAGACAGATGGACAACTGGAAATACAGTTTTTTCAATTGCAACCCAATAAGTATACTCCAGTAACTGAATGGAACACCACTAGTTGTGGTTGTGGGTTTACATATGCCCAACAGACTGGCCAAGTGGATTTTTTTTTCTTTGCATTAGTAACACTTCAATTGGGACAAACTTTACATAAACATCTTTCTGGGATGCATTCTCCTTGGCAGATCACTCACGTGTCGAACCAAATAATCCAAACTAATTCTAATGAGTGATTATTTATTGTAACATTGTCATAATGCTGGGCTCAAGTTTTCGTCATAATGTTCTCAATTTTTTTAGTGGTGATCTTACCCTGTACATCATACTTTTCCTGTTAGCAATAAAGTCGTGTCAGTCATATCTAACTCCATTCAGGGAAATGTTTTGAATCAAAGTAACATTGCTTCCATTCTAAACTGGGAGTTTGTATATAGTTAATCTGGGCCTCCTGCCCTAAGCTTTCCACATCTGGTTTTGGCTTTCATCTATCTAACTCCTTTCTTGAGATTAAGGAAGACTTGTAGGTGATGACAGTGGGAATTTATAGGACTACAATTTTTTCAAATTGCAGTCCAATAATTTTTCCATAAATGCAATATTTACAAGAACACACTTCCCTCATAGTTTATACAATCTGTTGTCAATTTTTAAAAAATTTATTATCACATAAAAGCAATTATTCTAGCATTTTTACAAGATTTTTTTTTATTTAAACCAGTCGAACAAAGTATTTCAGATGTTAAGGTTAGCAACTTTGATCACATCTGGGACCATCACAACCCATCCAACACAGATCAATTTTCAAAAAGTAGACCAGTATTAATGAGTAGTCGTTGACCATCCTCTCTTCCAGGAGGATCAATGACTTTTGGTCAAATTAACTTTGACTCCCTTTTGCAACAGTTCCTTCTTTCTATTGGACCAGTTGTATGGTGGCATTCAAATAGGAAAATTACATAATATAAGGTTACTGGCCAGCACAAAATATGATTTAAGTGGTTTTCGAGGATGCCAAGTTTGAATATTTGGTCCGTTTTTTTTTAAATTTGATTTGTTGGCAGATTACCATTTGATATTTGGCTGTGAATGGTACAGTTTCTTAGAGTTAACATTAGAAAATTTTATGATATCAAAATTATATGATATTATAATATGAAAATTTGAGATATATTTTCAATTCCTGACTACTTGACCATTGAATTTGTGTCATTTCGAACCATCCGAGTATCGTAACAATGGTAGGCTGAAATAACCAAACTCTTTATACAGTTTTCATTTTAACATTTGATATATTAAAGTATTTGACTTATATAACTACAAAGGTTATCTTATGTAAGGGTTTATCACACTGAGTGACCAATTTAACACATTTTAAAATTCTTTATTCCTCTACTGTACACAATTTAAAGAATTTTTAAAATGTGTTGGTATGGGCACTTGATGTGATAAGCTCTTACGTAATATAACCTTTGTAAATGTAAATCAACAATCAATATAATATAATATAAAGGTTAGAAGTATAAAATAACCTTAATATTTGTTTTTAGTTTTTGCCTGGGAAATACTGGGCTTACCTGCTAGTAAATTAATAAAATGCAATATACAGTAGATCGTCAATTATCCGAAACAGTTTGGGACTGGGATTGTTAGGATAACTGATCATGTACGAAAAAATATATTAACCTATCCCATGTTGAAATTTTTCTCTGTTGCATGTTGCTTTGCATTGAATTTTCATCAATGTTAAGCTTAACAAAATTTTTTTTAAAACAATAATCATGGCTATTGTATCGTTAAAAATTATTTCTTTATTTTGCACAAACAAAATAAATATATTGAAAAATATAAAAACAAAAAAAGATTATATTTTGGAAGTTTTCTAGTATCAAAAACGTTCCAATTCAGCCTGACACATGTTCCGACACAGTCCTCAGAAAAACATCACACAAAACAAGTAAAACTCACCACTCACGATGGGGGAAAAAGGCCTCATTCAAATACTGGTGCATCCTTAAGTACCCTGTCATGGTCTTGCCAGTGCTGCCAGCTAAAACATGCACAGCAATAAAAATAATATTGGAGTAGCCCAAGACAGCCAAATATTGCAGCACCACAGCACTAGTGGAAATTTGAATTTGCTGACTGGAACACTTTCAGTTTACTGATGTTTCAGTTGATCAGTATTCAGATAACTGATGCTCTACTGTATGAACTTATTTTAACTGTAACTAGCTATATAGAAGGTTTATTATTATTAAATTTTAATATTACTTTCGGTATAAATAAAATACTTTATTTGTTAATTAATTATCTTTCATTTGATAAAAGCATCTCATGGCACACATGTTGCAAGTATTGCTGCAGCATACTTTCCTGATGAACCAGAGAGAAATGGTATTGCACCAGGAGCACAGATTGTTAGCATAGGTATTGGAGATTCTCGTTTGGGATCTATGGAAACTGGCTCATCTCTAGTGCGTGCTGTAAGTTAATTATTAAAATGTATTATTACATTTANTCTAAAGTGTTTCAAAAAATTAACATTTAAATTTTTAGAGCAGCAGTGGATATAAGTGAAACTGGAGATCTTGAATCTTGCACTTTACTTAGTTCATATCGTGAAATGATGCAATATGCTGTTCTAACTTCTAAAGGTAAAGGCTTTTATATTTAATATGTATAAAAATTATAATAAGTAAACCATTTCATTCCAGATTTTTATTTGAAAGTTTTTGTAATCATTCCATATAAGTAGTCTTGTGCCAATGCATTAGCTACTTTCAAGAATTAAAATATAATAAATATAATTTCATTTTTCATTATTTATTAAAGAAGTTTTGTTTTACAATTATAAATAACACAATTTCAGTATTTAACAGATTCTAATAAAACTCTTTAAACATTTAGTATGCAAGTTATATTAAGAAACTAAAATTTAAAAAAATAAAATTATACTTCTTTACTCTTACTTTACTATATACTAAGTTATGCTATACTACTATATACTCTTTACTATATACTCCTACAATTAAACAGGATCTCTGAAGATAGAAATATAGAAAAAATTGTGCATTTATCAGATTTGGTTTAAAAAGCAGAAAAAGACTGGAATTAGAACCAACAAACTGGAATCAATTAGAATAAACTATAATAATAAAATATTGCAAATCTTAATGAGTGAATCTTTCTGAACTAACAATGATGCAATTAAACTTGCTATTATGTAAGGCTAATTTGTTGGGAAAATATTCCTTTTTTAAATTTTTTAAGTATTATACATTTCATTCTTGACCATTTTATCAAGTGTATATATATATATATATATATATATATATACTTTATATATGAAACAAACACGAAAAGTGATAAGGGATGACAAGCAGATTCAAGACTTTAATAACACTGTCTGATACAATGATGCCTTTGTAAGGGACAAGTGAAGGACAGGTTACAACGTATTTATTTTTCAGTCTTGCCAACGTCCGTCACCATAGTCCAGATCGCTGAACTCAACATTTATTTATAAACGTAACAGATAAGAGTCTGAGAGTTGCTTAATGTATAGACAAACGTAATGGTCATCTGTAGAATCCAAATCTAATTATGGTTAAAAGTTTAGAACGGGGTCAGACCCTCTCGATTACAAGGCGCCATATATGAAACACGAGTACAGAAAGGAAACTGTTGTTGTGTAAAATCGATGAATGCATCGTTGTCGTGTCACAATTACATATCGAGATGTTATATATGATATATTATACTTCCTATACTGGTTATCGATATATTAATTTGTAAAAATTAACTTAAAAAAAACGTGTAAATGTATCTAATTTTGTCCAGTTCTTAAACTAG